TGCCTTTTGGTCCCGGTTGGCATTATCAACCGGGACTAAAGATCCTCCTGCCTGGGCGCCCCACAGCACCCACGAGGAACCCTTTTTGTCCCGGTTCATGAGCAGATCGGGACTAAAGGTTTTGGGCTTTAGTCCCGATCCTTTAGTCCCGGTTCCAGAACCGGGGCTAATGGGCCCCTGGAACCAGGACAAATGGCCCATTTGCTACTAGTGAGGATCTTTTTACAATGTTCCTGATGTCGTTGGACACGAACAGCGCTCCGTGACCCAGTCCCTCAACCTGGACAATGGCATCAGTGTTGCCTGAAGCACATACATTGTACTAAAATGGACTTTGATGTTTCCAGTCTAATGTGATAACAGTCGGGCATCCGTGAGGAATGCCGACAAATGCACGCAACCATATAAGTATTTCTATGGTCTAAATTGCACGCACCTTTGCTACACTATGATGAAATCCTGCCATGTTTTATGTTTTGCGCAATTACCACTAATCATGTTGTTTCTCGTGTGGCAGCATGAAGGATTTCAGGAGTTTGCTGATGTCGTCGAGTATAGGATGGGGGTGGTGGTGGGGAGTCTTAAGCTGTTGGGCTAGGGACCTGATTTTTGTGTCAGTCATATTTGCTAGTCTCTTTCATTCACAAATATAAGATTTGGATATTTTAATATGGACTATATACGGAATGAAATAAATGAAACAAAACACACTAGAACATGTTCATAACTTTATATACATTCAATTCATTTCATAAAAAAGCTTGAACATCTTATACTATTTATAACGGAAACACTAACGCCCACACGTGTGGGCGTTTTCATCTCGCCCACACGCGTGGATCCGCGTCCGTTTGCCGGTGCACGAATCTTGGCATGTTTGTGGTGCCACATAGGACTAGGCTGGTGTGTGGGCATTCACACGGTCGTCCACACGTCCGTTTCACCACACGGAGGGGCCGGTGTGCAGGCGTTTAGCAGTTCGCCCACACGCCAGTTTTCACTCACGCATAAGGGCTGGTATGTGGGCATTTGCCATCTCGCCCACACACCTGTCTCCTCTCCCACACCCAATCTGCCAGTTGCCATGTGTTTTGTAGTGTACATGGCAACTACCCTAGCGTGCTTGTAAGCAGATGGCAACTCTCGTTTTTTTTACTCGAACATGTCAGTTGCCATGTGTTTTGCAGGGTGCATGGCAACTGCCTAGTGTGCACGTAAGCAGATGGCAACTCTCTTTTACCCGAGTTGCCATGTGTTTTTGCATGGTGCATGGCAACTGCCCCGGCGTGCACGTAAGCAGATGGCAACTCTTTCTTTTACATGGCAACTGCCCTAGCGTGCTTGTGAGGACATGGCAACTCTCTCAACTGTCTAGTGTTAGTAGGTGGCAACTTCTAAAGTTTTGAAATCATGGCAACTACAGTAGACCAGACCATACATGGCAACTACAATTGAGCAACCATGGCAATTGTAGTTGTCCGACATGGCAACTGTAGTTCAGCGACATGACAACTGCAGTTAAATGAACATGGAAGATGGTCCAGACCATGGCAACTGCGGGGACGCTGGTGACTGTCACGCGGGGCGTGCCGGACCATAAGGTAGGAGGCCTGACGTACGGGCGTATGGGCGTTATCTATTTTGCCCACACGTAGACATGTGAGAGGGACCGCGAGGAAAAAAAGCATGTGGGCATTACTTGTTTTGCCCCACGTAGGCGTGTGGGCTGATCCTTTTAAACACCACAAAAACTGTGTGGGCAGACCCCTACGTGTGGGCGTTATCAGCGTCCATTATAAACATAATAGCATCGGCAATGCTACACATACAAACAGTTTACAGGGTTTTACAGGGTGGGTTAGTTTTTATTGGCAAACAGGTGAGCGGGACGGCCCACCCCCCTAAAAATCAGGGGGTGGGAAGGTTTGTGATTGGTTGTTAGATGGAAACAGTTTACAGGTTTTTACAAATCTTTGTATGTCTAGCATTTTTGTAATAGCATTTATTACGCGTGTATCTCATAGTAGGGGTATCATGCAAACACGCAATGCGCATCACACAAATATCTACCTAGCTAGAACCGGCGCAAAGTCTGACTTATGCAGGCTTCTCCTCCTAAAGAAATCCCCGAATTTGCGTAGAACAGACTTCCTCTTCTTGTGCTTCATGGCATGCTCCAAGCCGCCGTACTGTCTTCCGTCATCGAAGTGGTCGAACTCGTAGTCGTAGTCGTCCATGGCCGCCGCCGCCGCCGCGGACCTCAGCTCCGCGATGTTGCTGATGGACGCGAACATCCGATCCTTCCGGCTTGCGGCCATCACCCTGCCGGAGTCCAGGAACGCCGCCGCACTGAGCTTTCCCTCCGCATCGGCTTTCCACTTCTCCAAGAGCAGCCCCGCCGCCTTCTCTCCACCGCCGGCGCCTCCATCGGCGGCAGTGGACTTTTGGGTTGCTGCCGTGAGCTGGTTGCTTAGATCCACGGCCCGCCCCTGCGCGGCAGCCTCGCTGGCCTTGAGCGACTCGTTCTCCAGCCTCAGGGACTCCATGGCGCGCTCTTTCTCGGCGATGGCGTCGCGTAGCTTCGAGTTCTCGCTGCCCGCGAACTCGAGGGACTCGTTGGCCGCGTTGGCCTCCTCCACCGCTCGCTCCAGCGCGCGCCCTAGGCCGCCGTTCTCGTGGTTGACCGCCCGGTGCAGCTCGGCGAGCTCGGCGTTGTCACGCCGGGCGCCGTCGGCGTCCTCCTCGGCCGCGTGGGCGCGTCCGAGCAGCGTCTTCTCCCTGGCGCGCCACGCAGCCGTGGCCTCCTTCCACTCGGACATGACGCCGTCGAGCTGCTCGGTCGTCGACCCCAGGTCCACCTCGGCGGTGCGCAGCAGGCCCTCGAGGCGGCCGGCCTCGGCGTTGGCGCGCTCGAGCTCGGCCTGCGCGTCGGACAGCCACGCCTTCACCTGCTTGGCCTCCATGGTGACGACGGAGAGCGCGGCGGCGAGGTCGTCCCCCGCCGTCCGGCTCCTCTCCTCGGCGATCAGCGCCGACCGGAGGCTGCCCCTCAGCCCGTTGATCTCCTCGTCGACGCCGCCGAACATGAGGTCCATGACGCTCCACTGCCCCTGCGTGGGCCCGGCCGCGACCGCGCCCTGCCGCAGCGTGGCGGCCTCGAGCTTGGCTTCCTCGAGCGCGATCTTGGCTTGCTCCAGCTCCTTGGTCCGGTGGATCAGGGACTCCAGCATCTTCGCCTCCGTCTGCTTCGCCACCGCCACCTCCCGCTCCAGAAGCCGCACCCGCGCCGACGGCGATGACGTCTCGCCCTCGCCGTCTTGCTTCTCCAGCTCCGTCGCCATGTCGCCGCCGCTGCTGGCACGCTGCAGTGAACCCATATATAAGTCGCAGTACCTACCGTGGACCAAAGCGGTGGAGAATGTTTATGCAGCATGCCCATGTGCGCACCTCGGAAGAATAGTGTGGAGGACGACGGACGTGGTGGTGGTGGTAGAGCTGCTGCGTTCGTGCCGAGGCGTGGCTTCGGAACTGGAAGCCGGAGGAGTCGTCGGCCGGCCCACCACCCCACGATCCGGATCTGCACGGCGAATGTTTATATTTACCTAGTCGTCGGATCGATCGGAATGCTCGCCGGCCCGGCTACAAACTTTCTCCGAGAAAGCGGTCTAGAGTACACGAGATTTCCAGTGGTTCACGCTAGACAAAATGAGTTACGTACCCATGTGGCCGTGTCACTCGTAGACACGGAGCATGCTTAATTCGCTGGGGATGTGGAGCAGTTGGGAAAAAGAGACGGCGCGCTTGATCTTGACCGTCGCGTGCGATCCCATGCGAATTTACAATGCCAACTGCGCGTGATCCAACGGAGGATGTGACGGGTGCTACTACGTACTGGTGTCTATCCGCATAGTGTTGCTAGTTTATTGCACTTTGGATCGACTTTTATACTAGTAAGTTTTTGTAAGAGTGAGCGTTTTTGGACTTTTATAGCCGTCCTCAGCTTCATATTCTTGTAGCTAGATACTGTCACTCGCTAGAAGAGCCAACCACGATGCCATGTACAAGGGAAAGCCGCCAATCGCCGTGACAAAATTTCAGTTTTATAGGCGGTCCAGTAACCAAGCAGTCAGCGGATAAATTATTTCTGAGCCGACGTCGCTCGCATGGTCACCACGACTCATGTGTCGGGCCGCCATTGGATTGGCAACTCGTGAGTTGAAAAATAACATGGCAAATGGATTATTATTTTTCACTTTCGTCCCGGTATGCTGGTCTTGTATCACTATCATAGTATCAAGGAAAAGGCAGAACTAGTAAACCGGTTTCTTTTCTCAAAGAAAAAAGGTAAACCGATTTCTCGGGAAAAAACAACACACACAACCGATCCCCTCCCCGAGCGAAGAGAAAAACAAGCCAACGAGCGTGTCTTTAGACATACACACCGACAGATAATTTTCTTTTTCACTATATGTTTTTTTAAGGAGCGTGCTACGGATCAACCAAGTGATTTCTCGGGAAATCAGTCGGGTCAATGACCGTCCGATTTTGATGATTTGCATGCAGTATCTCTATTCCTAATATCTCAGTTGGTAGGTCGCGTTCCGGATTTTATTTTCGTCCCACCTCGCCCGGTTTTTTTTGGTACCTATTTTCGTACCTCCTCCCACCTCCCACCTCCCAACGATTTTCTCCTGAACCGTCGAGTGATGCCCCCCGTGGAGGTAGCGATGCCTCAGGTAGCGAGCGAGGCCTGCAAGTCGAAAAAAAACCTACGAAAGAAAACCTACGAAAGAAAACCAACGAGAAAAAACCCACGAGCGATGGAGCGAGGCAACGCACACCCTCCCTCCGCAAATCCTAGCCGCCGCACGAGGGAAGAGATGAGGGGCAGCACGTTGCGTCCAGACGTCTCCGCCGCCGGCCTCTCTACACTCCGCTCCCCAGTCCCCACCTCCTCCGGTCCTCCCGCACGGCCGCTCCTCCGCGACGACACCAACCGTCCAGAAGCGGAGTCGCCGCCTCGACCCGGGGTCCCCCCGTCCCCATCGTGGTCGGCACCACGCACATCCCGAGGCACCACCCGCTCGTTGTCGGCACGCCCGAGCCTGCCAAGAAGGAGGCCGTGCCGCGGAGGGGCTCCTGGGGCCGAGAAGCATAGTGGCGCCAGCGATGCCGGGGTGCTCGCATCACCCAAGGTTGTCAGACCCATCGCGCTCAACTTCGAGGAGAAGACGCCCGTCAAGGAGCGGCCCTCGCCAGCGCGGAGCTCGGCGTTGGTCAAGAAGAGCACCACCATCATGCACAGGCTGGTGACACACGGCTGGAGCTTCGTCGCCGACAGGGCAACCCACCTCCTCCTCCACAGAACAAGATCCCAAAGGGCCGGTTCCACCTGTATGTACTCTGTACACCTGAACTGAACATGTTCTGTCTTGCAACTTCTGAAGCTGATCTGAATTGAAGCTTAAACTGTATGTGCAGGAGAAGAGCTCGATGAGCTGCACGGCTCACGCACCATGAGCAGGAGGCCCAGGGAGAAGGAGCCCTCCTTGCTGGTCTCCGACGACCGGCGTCGGTAGCACAACTGCCTCCCCCAAGAGGAGGCCCTCCTTGTCGGCCTCTCCCGTGCTGGTGCTAGGGAAGCTCAATGCTCTCGACAAGGCAAGTGATCACATTCAGATGGGCTCTTCTCTCTGTTGGTTTTTCTATCTGCCTTTTCTTTGAACTGATCCGACGCTGGGAAATTTTATTTCAGGAAGCCAGGGAATAGGCGCAGAATCAATGGCAAGCCAAGTCGACAGGTGACTTCACACATCAAATCGAATCAATGGTGTTTTTCTACTGGCACATTAGTGCAAAAAAATGACAATTGATGGCCTCTCCTTTAGCTATCATACCATGTGTTGTGTCACTAAGTTACGATCTCAGCTGCGGTATACATATTTTCAGATTAATGAAGCTTATAGCCCTCCAATGCAGTATCTGTATGCTTTACAAAACTATCCGAGTATTGCAAAATTGTATGATACATCAAATTGGAGCATAGCCTACATACTTATGGACTGTGGACTTATGTTGCTTATTTAGAGGCTGCCGTACATGGATCGGGTATGATATTGATTGCAGAAATTTCTATACGACTCTTGCGGATTTCAACCTTGTTCTTCTCCCTAATTTAGGAAAACTACAAGTATTTGGTGCACGATCTAAAATAGCTGCAGGCTAATCCTCCCCTAATGTTCATAATGTTCTGTGGTACACAATATGGGTAAAGGAGAGCACATTGCTCTAATGTTTTTCCATATGATATTAAATCAGACATTTCAGTGGATAATATATGGTATTGACTTGGACATTGGTGTTGTGGAACAATCTAGCAGGTATTGGATCTTATAGAATTATAGAGTTGGCAGGATCTGAAAATCATGGTGTTGGTGTTTCAGCCTATTAATCTGTAGATAAAGAAAGTCCATACATCTCTACAAATAATCCTGAAGAAAGTTCTACTATTGCGAACGCTCCAACTGAATAAGAAATATGATTTTTTTTAATTGAAGAAGAAGCCAGTTTCTCGAGAAGGAATACAGAATAATATTTGGGATTATTTACTTGAGGTATTTCCATGACTTCATTCTTTATTTTCTCATCCCTCATTATTGGTACTATATAATGGCAATTTGGGACGTTGCAACATAAAGTTTGGGCAAACATATGTTGCTTATTAGATGGCCATTTAGGATGGATCCGTGATAAATTGTGCATTATAAGTTGATATTTCTGAATTTACTCTCTTTAGCTCTGCTAGGAGTGGGATTAATCTTTATTTTTATTGATTACTCCTTTTTAGTACAACCAATATTTTACTGAATAAAAACTGTAACTCTATTAATGAAGTGGTAGCTAGTGGAGTACATAATTGCACCATTGTACGACAGTGACCATAACTCTAGATTATACTTAGGATTGCATCTTCACTGAAGTAGAGATATTTGGTCATTTTTCCGATGTGAATTAAGATGACCATAACTCTCACGTCGTAGTTATGGTACCACCTCCTGTGTCATTAAAGGATACTTGTGTGATTTACTAGCTGTTTTAGGTACCTCCTACAGTCCTACGTACTCGTGTGATTTACTTGTCGTTTTATATAAGCATGATGCTCGTATGTTTTGATATTTAGCACTTTGCGTCATATGTGAAAGAAGTAATTTAAATGATTCCACCCATTGTAATTGCATACTAGGTCTCAGATTCATCGCATCAATCGTGAGGGGTAGTATGCAAGGATCAACCGATGTGGATAACAAAATCTGGGTGCGAGCTTCCGGGAAATCTAATTGGGTCTATGCAAACAAGCAGATTTGGAAGATAATCCCTGTACATGTATGACTATACGAACTCTTCTTCCCTCCAGGCAATAGAGTTTAGCTTCAGTAAGCAAGTGCTAAGATAACTTGCATTCATAACTCTACTGCTGATCAAGTCAAGTGTTTGTATTTGGTGTTCAGGTTGATTTGGCAAATCTTTGACAGTAGTTGTGGGTCTTATACTGATGACAATCAACGTGTCTTTTCCGACCAACCAGGGGTCGATTCCAACATATGTTTTGTCCATCTTTGAAGCCCATTTGCTACTCATTGATCTGCTTCACTCCTCCACAAGGTACGGTATTATTATACCCCTGTTGCGTCCTACTGCGCACACGCAATTGTGGTGATCAGAATGGAATTCTATTCGTGATTCATGATCTCCACGTCGAAGGAACCGAATGGAAACAATAGCATGACAAAACAAATGAATTTCTACCTATATTTCTACACATTGTCCAGCCCCTTGTCTAGCTCGTTGATTTTTATTAGTTTCAGTTTCTCACTAGGTTCTCTTGAGCGATGAGTCATACTGGATGTTCAAGGACACAGAAGGCTTCATGAACCACATTCTCTTGCTGAACTTTTTTTGGCATCATAACAACGATTCCCATGATCTTTCTATGGTAAAACCTTCAGTCTTGTTAATCCCGTTATCTTGAGTTATGATGGTATATGAATTTTTTTTCCATTGGAGCAACAATGTCATTCTTTTTTAGCCTGCAACTATGATGTTTCCATTCAAGTTACTGATTGCTGGAATGCGATTATTTGAAGGCATCTTATGACCTGGTCATAACTAGCCAAAGCTCTGCAATATTAGTGTGTAATCATATCCTCTTTCTCTCTGCTTGTGGCTAGTGCTTTACTGATGGACGGTGTTGGCGCGTTTAGGGCATAATGACCTGAGCGGTAGATCGTACGGTGAACAACGTCGACGGCAGCGCTAGAGCACGGCGAGGCTGGTTGAGGTTTTCTCTATGCTTCTTTTAATGACCACATGTAATTTT